TGGGAGTGGGGGAGTGAGTGAAAGGCTGTGTGGTGTTCAGCTTCTTGCTGGGTTAAACCACAACAGAAGTATATAAAGAGCTCTGTCTTTTAGTGATGCAACCCTGCATGACCTTCAGAGACCACAGTGGACTACCTATATGGGTTCTTGTGGTCATGCTGGAGATCATTTTGTCATTGCCTTCAAAGTCTTGTGTGTGAAAGCCTAGCTGGCCTCTGCTGTGATATGAGTCCAGCATTTCATAATTATGAACACTTTCGAAAGATGGACAACTTGCATACAGAATAAAAAGCAGTAGTAAAGGTTTCTTGAGGCCACAGAATGGGGACTACAGAGGTACACGGCTTTAAATGTCTTGTGAAGTGAAACGATGACAGAAGGGCCAATGTGTGCCTCAAACATGCATATCATGCCAGTTCCTCCTTACTGAACTTGGCTGATGATAATTGTCTATTGACAATTCCACAGAATGGTATCACTTATATATCAGTGCAAATAGTATTTTCATGTAGCAAGTGTATGACACAAATGTAATTCTTACACAGCATGATGTACTTCCAGGCAAAGATGCCTGCACATTCTCACCAAGCTAACTCAGATATCAGAAGCCATATAAAATTTTCCAGTTTTGATGCTAGCATTACAACATCCCAATCCCCACAGCATGGCTTAAACCCAAACTGAAAAGAACAAAAACTATGGGCAAAGGAGCAAACATTCCATGAAAAGATTCTCAGACTGATTTTCAAAGACAAACAGAATGAAAAGCAGATCTCTAACATCAATGCAAGCCTGGCATTTTGCCACACATGTAAACAAAAACAATGCATTTAAAAATCTTGCTGATTAATTGTATGAAGGCCCAATCTTTACTGGAGCTACTGCTGTTAATGTACAACTCATGAACAGTAAGACCAATAGCTGAGAACGGCTGAGGGCCCAGTCTGGAACCCATAGAATCTAGGAAGAAATGGAACCAAAACTGCTGCAAAATTAAAAGCACTTTCAGAGAAATGCAGAAGTTTGAAATCAAATCAAAATTCAAAGGGATAACAAGCTGATAAACCAACCATCCGAAAGAAGGAAAAATGACAAAGTAATAGAGAAAGACAACATTTCATTTCAAAATGCATGCACAGCAGTAGAGTATTTCCACCTAAGGTAACACAACATTCTCATTACTCAAAAGTAGTCGTTATTTAGAATCCTAATGAAATTTACCCACAGCACACAACTTAGGGAAAAAAAAACACAAAAACCAAAAACAAAACATCAAAAACAATAAAAAATACAGCACACACATACACACATACACAAAACAAACAAACAAATCAATCAATCAATTAATTAATTAATTAAAAAAAAAAATCCCAGAAATTTATTTAGCTTCTGTTGTCTCCAGCAACGTTTTCTAAAATTCAGAGTAAAATTGTGAGCTCAACACAGTTTTATTATGGTACACGTAACAGGATGAGAGTCTTAGTATTCTTGACAAAAAAATCCCAACAATTCTTTGCTTTCACAGCAGTCTTTTACTGACTGCATTAACGCAGTAGCGTTTCGAGTGGTGTGTCTTTAATGTAATCATGTAGAAAAGGCCATCTCTTTTTGCAGTTCTAGATTTACTGCCCATAAGTTCCTCTGTTCTTGCATTTTTGAGGGCAGAAAGTTCCAAACCTGGTTCATTGTCTAGAGCAATCCTTTTCTTACAACATAACTGCCATCTGCTTAGTGAAGGCAACACCTTCTATTTTTTCAGTTCCCCCTCAGACTCTTCTCCACCTTCTAATAACCAATGACCTCCTCTTCTGTTTTGCTTCACTTGTTCAGTGCTCTGAGATTAATGTGATGGAAATAAAATCTGTTATCTGCAATCAAATACCCACAAATGCAACTATATCAGAAATGTCCCAGCTATTTAGTGCTGTCATTCCAGTTGCATTATATTACCTGCTATATTATTTGCTTTCAGTCTTAATAAACTACTTTGTTGTTTGGTCTTGCTTTGTTTTCTCCCCAGTGGACTTTGATGTTTAGAGTAGGATGATGACACAATCTAAGGAATCTAGGTGAGATGGAAAGGGGTAAAAGGAGCAAGTATCCTTTTGCAACAATTTTCTGCTTTTTCCTTAGTCTTTGCCAGTGGTATTTGCCAGCCTATATGGAGAGAGAAAAAGTAGCCAGGCCACTGTTTAAAATACATCCTTCCTCATCAATGGTTTGTTTGTTTGTTTGTTTTTCCTGTAGACTCACAAATTTTGAAGGGATTTCCTCACCCTTCCTTTCATGTACGTGTCCTCTTCCTCCTCATCATTCTAACTTTAGAAGGAATCTCTACAGATGCCAAGTTCCTGCAAGCCATAACTGGAAACCAACAAAAGAAATTCAGACATAAGTAGAAGAAAATTCAGATATAATACAAATATTCTCAGAATTTTTTACAGGTTTCAAGGAAAATGATGAAATCTGTGACACCTGAATCAATTCAGGCTGGACTGACCAAATCAGTAAGACTCACACTGAATTGAACGTTCTGTCTAATGGATGAAAATGGCTTAAATATTCATTGCTACCTCCACTTTCTGCAATTTACAATAGACAGTTCGTAGCCAAGCAGATGCGATCCTATATATGAATACAGATCCATGTACACAAAGCAAAATTCAGAGCAGGAGCCCACAGTTGCCCCGCTGAATAGGCATGTCTGTGAGTTTCTCCCTGAGTCTGTTAAGACTATGGAGGCCCATGAGTGAAGAGGGAGAGTGATGACACCACTGGGTCTGCACTCACATAGCCAGGGGGTGACTGCTATCAATACCAGAATATGCAGTGTGGGTGAATAATCCACTTTACTAAATGCTGTAGACTGTACACAGGATTTGGATCAGTGGCTTATTTCTCTTAAGTCTTTTCCACTCCGGCAAATAATTCTGTTGAATTCAGAGGGATTCTCATTGTACAAATCAAGGCCACCAGATCTGCTCCTGGAGAGTGTGATTAGTTTTCCTTAACAAAATCTTATCCTAGGTGTCATTAGTAGTATTCTGAATTATAAGCCATTGCTTATGCTGTTTCATACCCTTTGGCAGAAATTGCCTGCTTGAGACCTTAAGGAAAATACACATCGCAAAACTGTCCCAACAAGTAAACATGTTTGTGACCTGAATCTACTTTTGCTTTCTAAAGGCTAGTTTGAGAGAGTCACAAAACCTCAGGCTCCTCCCGGTCCGTTCACTGCAATTGTTGTTTGTAGTTGTGGTTGTTTTCCCTCGGACACTCGTTCTCCCTTCCTGCTCTGCGGCCTGTTTTGCACAGTTTGCTCACTTAGGCCACAGAAATAGCTTCCCTTGGAAAACAACATTGGAGATCTGCAGCTTAAAAATATCACAGCATTACAGAAAAGATGGCAAAAAAACTTTCAGGAGAAAAGGATGAGTTTTCAGAATTCTTCATCTTAAAAACAGGCCCTTTACTAATTGGATACATTGAAGATAGACTGAATTTCTCAGAGCTACATATATTTCTTCGTAATGAATGAGTACCTTTGTGTTTATTTGCTTTGCATTAATGAATACCAGAATTTACAGTTAATGGCGAAGACTTCAGGTTAAAATTAGAGCACTGCATTGGTTTACTTCCTGAGGAGTCATGAATATTATACAATTTGTAATTAATTAATTTATAATTAACCATTTACCTCTTTCTGTTCAGCTTTTGGTTTATTCTTGGTGAAGTGCATTCTTTAACAAGAGTAGCCTTTACCCACTTCTTTCCATGCATCTATTCACCACCTTTCCCCTCACCTTCCAGCTCATCCAGCAGCACTGTTGCAGTCTGAGCTGAGTATTTCCCACAGGCATCAGAAGACAACAACTACATATATTTAACCAGGGAACTGTAAGAATAAATACACTGCAGCACATCTAAACTTCATTTCCCACTAAAGATACACGAAGCACATTTCTATGCAATCTTTTCTTGACTTACTCAGGCCACAGGACTGTGCAAACCTAAAGGTAGGATCTGAGATCCTCATTAACCCTAACTTCCAAATCCTAGAGCAGCACCATTCCTACCACAAAACTATTTGTGCTTCAGGGTACTGCTCATCATGAAGAACAGCACAGAAGGTTTTCCAGAGAAAACCATAGAGAAGCAGTATACCTTTACAGAGCTGTGTTAAACCACAAAGGTTGACATAAGATCTGCGCTCTATTAGGTTATGTCGTTCAGTCTGGAATTGCAACTTCAGCATCAGAAGTTTATTTGAATAAATATTTTTATTTTACCCGGTATAGAATTTATACTTCTTTTTCTTTCAAAAATAAGATCTGTAGACTGCAGACATCCACAATTAATTCCAAATTACAGAACAGTTACAACAATAAAGCAGGATGCCTGCTGAAGCAAAAGACAACAAAGAAATTCTTGATGCTCAGTGCAGATGCCATTTCTGGTTGAAATGCTTTTTTGCTGTTACACAATGACTTTTACAACTGGGTCAGAAATCATGTGCTTCAGAAACTCTGGTTCTGTCTTGCCAAAGAAAGTGTTTGTATCTGTTCTAACTTTCTATCATTCTCTAAGGACCAATATACCTATGTGAGGCTTTGCTCTGTCTTATCACTGATTGCTACAAGCAATGCCAAGTATCTATAAGCCCATTCTGTGCAGTCATTTTCTCTTCTAGAAAACTGAGCATACAAAACAGTTTAATCCTGACGAAGATATTGCTGCCTCCCAGCTGTTTTTTTGTAACCTATCTGTTCTGTAACTTACTTGTTTCTCTTAAGCAAGTGGGATCTCTCAATTGCAGTTTTACCTTCCTCCATTTCATGCATCCAGAAAAAAATGCAATTAAACATAATGAAGAAAAAAAGGGATTATACAAATCATTTATTCATTATGAAGTCCTAGATAAAATACAGTTTTCTTCCGATATTTTCAATCATAAGATCTTATTTTGAGGTGCTGACATATTAACCCATCATTCTTGGCAGATATCTTCCATGCTAGCTGGCTGGCTTCTGGTGACGTTTTAGAAAACATCTGGGAGAAAAAGACAAAAAGACAAAAAGAATGTGAGTGTTTTGTGTTTTTGTTTTTTTTTTTTGTTTTTGTTTTTTGTTTTTTTGTTTTTTTTTTTTTTTATGCTAGAAAAATTTGCAGAATATTAGCTGTTGCATCTGCCCACCATAGTTTGGAGCAGATGGGTAAAAAGTAATAGACAACTTATGCTTGTATAAGGAATGTGGGTTTTAAAAAATATTTATTTATTTATTTATTTATTTATTTATTTCTTAATTACCTCATGCCACTAAAATGACACGGACAAGATGAAAACTTTGGAAAATTTGAAATCTGTGAATTCTTAGTAATGGTTTGCTCAGGATTGGTACCTAAATTCTTCAAATATTAGCACTAAATGAAGCCAGCAGCTGAGGTCTGTAGGCTCTCTGCATTTCCATGGAATGGAAACCCTTTGCTACTGTTGGCTAACACAGCACTCAATTCCAAACTAACATCTGCTTCCAGAGCACAAAAGGGGATAAAATGGCTCTGAGTACAAGAGAAACAAGTCTGTGTTGGGAAACAGTAACAAAGCTGGAGCTAAGAAAGAAGTGACCAAGGACTAGGAGTCATTGAAAAAAAATGTGAAGGAACTTCTCAAAAGACTTCAATTACCAGGCTAAGGAGTAAACCAGAACAACTGAAGAGGGATGAAGCTGCAAATACTAGGATTAGAAATAAGACAGTGCAAGCAAGGATGCTCAGTGGCAGAAGGAACGAAATACAGACCAAGGAGAAAACGGCAATCAATAAGAGAAGGAGTTTTATGAGTAGCAGATGACAGAGAGCAGCTGAGGAAAGCTCAAGACATAAAAAGAAGGAAGATTGGATGATAAGAGACTGAAACAACACGCTATGAGGAGGTAGTAAGTGAAAGACCAGTATGGACCTTTGTATTGCTGGGGGAAAAAAACCCCAAGCATCTAAAGATACAAGCACAAGGATCCATCAAGAACTGTAACATTGTAATGTGTCCAAGGATCTCAAATCGTTTTCTATGCAACAAGATGCCACAGAAATAGCACCGGTTGGGAGCCACCAAGCAGCTGAGCAGCAGCACCAGTTCCTTCTGCAGGTATTTCTGAACATTTCATTGTCTGTTATGCACCCCACTGCAAACTGGTCTGAGAATCTGGTCAGTGTCCTTAGTCCCTCATGGATCAAGTCTGGGGCAAAGGAATGCCAATTTCTGGCCTTAAGATTTTGGCTGAACTATGAACTACGCTCTTCAGCTCACACAGGAACAGGTCTGGCAAGGACATGAGTGACAACATTGCCCAGACACTTGCAGAACTGTGCAGCAAGGCTTCAATGATGCTCCCCATACAGCTTTGGGATCACATTCCCAACTGCTTCAGCATCTTTTCGCAGATCTGAATCAGAGAATTTAGGATGTCTCTTTAGGCAGCAATAGAAAGGTAAGCAAATAGACCTGATGAGGTATTTCAGGCTGTTTAAGGGAACTTGGATGCAAGTTACTTATGTAAAGAGCCAGAGGTGCTGAGCTCTGCAAAACCAGAAAGAGAGTCTGGCATCCCCTTCTAATACATAGCAAGCAGATGACAAGTAATGATTAACAGACTCCAGACATCAACTTTAGACCATGTAGCTGTAGTCAGAATAAATGGTTCAAGTTAATGATTTACATGAACATTTTGAAGTCAGTGACTCTGAGGTAAGTAGACTGCAGATGATGTGTCTGAAGAGAAACTGAAAGCTCATCTGTTGTGATACTTGATCTAAGTACCTAAAATTTCTCCCTGAAATACAGAGTAGTATGTTAAATGCTGAGGCCCAGTTTGTTTCTACATAATAACTCGTGGAATATATTTTTCTGCTTCAGAGAATTCTATGACTTGGATAATAAGATTCTCAAAAGATCTGATTAGTTAAACTTATAAAATTCACCTACAATGCCTTATGGAGTTTAACTCTGTCAGGAGTTTTGTAAAGATGTAATTCCTGCCACAAGCCATAGTACTAAGTAGACACCAGATGTTCTTCAGATTCAGCTTCTATGGCATAGAATCACACGGTTGGAAAGGACCTACCTACAAGATCATCTAGTCCAAATGTCTTCCCATTATCACTGCTACCACAAGCTACTAAACCATATCTCGTAGCTCCTCATCCAGATGCCTCTTGAACACTGCCAGGGACGGCGACTCCACCACCTCCCTGGGCAGCCATTCCAGTGCCTGACCACCCTCTGAGAGAAAAGTTCTTCAGTATGTCTAATCTAAACGTCCTCTGGTACAACTTGTGGCCATTTCCTCAGGTCCTGTTTGTTGCCTGAGAGAAGAGGCCAAACCTCTCCTCATCACAACCTCCCTTCAGGAAGTTATAGAGTACAATGAGGTCTCCTCTGAACCTCCTCTTCTCCACACTAAACAATCCCAGCTCCCTCAGCCACTGTTCAAAGATTTGTGCTCCAAACCCCTCACCAGTTTTGTTGCCCTTCTCTGGACACGTTCCAGCGCCTTGATGTCTTGTAGTGAGGGGCACAAAACTGAACACAATACTCGAGGTGTGACCTCACCAGTGCTGAGTACAGGGGGATGATTTCCTCCCTGCTCCTGCTGGCCACATTATTTCTAATGCAGGCCAGGAGAAGAAAACGCTTATGGAAGAGCAACCAATCTGTAACTCTATGATGCTGGTTATCATCCTATCATCTGAGCTGGGAATTTAAGAAAAGTATTGCCTTCAAATACTAGTAACAAAAGTTCCTCATATTCCCTCAATCAATGTAGTCCACCTTTTTGCATTACCTGGCTGAATCCATTAATGAGGGTCATGGTGACTTTATGTATTCTATACAGACAAGGCAATACGTCAAGAAGCAAGTACAAAGCACTGGAGTGCATGTTATGACTACATCACCGATAGTCCTACAGAAGGTTAAGTTAATGGATTCCCTCAGCAGGCCATGAACAGCTCAATGATGCACACTTTGAGTCACTCTGTATTAATATAAACAAGCAAAGCAGAACACAAGGAAGTTGTTTTCTTCACTAAAGTAGACATAAATTGTTTCTTTACTTTTGCACGTTTCCCTCTCTCTCTCTGTTACTGATTAGCCCTGCTATAGTAGAAGTAGTGGAGAAAGAGAAAAGAGCTATCCATCCATAAAGGCTAATACCAGATAAATCATATTCTCAAATGGGACTTTCTCTATTGATTTCAGTTATCATAAAAATGAATTTTCTCTATTCGTTGTTTAAATCTTGTTACCAGCAGAAGTAGTGAGCTAGACACGAACAAAATCTGTTGCAGTTCAACTCAAGATCTCAGCTAAAAGTCCCAAACATCTTCTTTTGGTATGTAAAGTGTGAACTTCCATCTGGGAAAGCTCTGAGACGCTGAGCACAAAAGATGCATGACACATTTTTACTGAGTTGCCACTTACCATACAATTCATCCTGAAATACCGTGCCTGCTTCTGAGGCATGAAATCATAGACCCAGATGGTTTCTTCCCACCTCTCCAAGGCCTATTCCAACCATACTGAAAACAACAACCAAAGCTAAAAAAGGAAACAATCCATCAGGGAAGCAGAGCAACCAAGATGGTCTGATTTCCTATGGATTCTTCTGGAGTTTAAAGAGATTGGTGTCTGAACTGATGTATTCCCCTGTGGTTATACTTTTGTAGTCTCTTCTTGGATATGGATTCTTTAGAGTCTATTAAGAGATGAACTTACAATATAGTCTATTCTTCAGTGGAAGAAATAAGATGTTTTTATTCTTTATCAGGCTGCTGCTTTTTACAAAATCTAGAGGAATTTAATACCTCTGAGACTGCTGCTTTTCTCTCTGGTTAAAACTGGGTAAAAGCTGGCTTCTGACCAGATGTATACAAAAGAAATGTGATCAAATAAACTGTTTTTCTTTGGTAATTGAATTAAAAACAAGTGCTCGAAATAATTAGAAGTTATCATCATCCCTTGGTAGACATATTCTCTACCAATGTTTCCAGTTCTCTAAGTAATTAAGAACCTTTTGAACATTCTTTATCCAGCCCATTTTAACAAAACAAATGCCAAAAGCTGAGATACGCTGATAGTGGACAGCTGTAAATACCTAGGTAGGTGAATCTGTATAAAGCACTGAAACTTGTGGAAAAGATAAAGCTGGCTTTAATGGACTTTGAGCTAGAACACCTTTCTTGAGGTGAGGCTCATGGGTACTCTGGAAATGTGTACTAATAATTAATAAATGTTGCATAGACATGGAAAATATATATATATTTTTTCAAATGTCTTTTGGCTGGAAAGTGAAAGAATATATTCAACTTCGAGATGACCAAATGTTATATTTTCAGTTTGTTAAAGCTGAGAGAAACTTGGGTGCTTTGTACAAAACTCTGTAGTGGTTCCAATGCTTTCTGCAGATTCTTGGTCAACTAAAATCCCGCTGTTCTCCTGCACGAAACGTGCAGTGTGTGCAGGTACCAATATGTATATAGATCATAGGTATATGCATATTCTGTAAAATGAATCAGTCCCTTTTGTGAATAAAGTCCCATTGAAAGTAGTGTTGCTATTCAAATACAATAAACATTTCGGTGAAGCAATTTATTAATAGATATTTAATCCATCTTTTACGGATAATATAGCAATGCCTTGAATTCTAGATATTTTGGTGATTAAGGTAACTTTCTAAATAGCAAATTAATAAAATGCATTGAAAATCTGATCTTTTTGCTCTGTTTTGCAGTGATAGACTTATTAATTATCATTTTCTCCTCTTTGTAAATGTTTCAGAATGGAGAAAATCTAATCTCTAATTTTTATTTTAACTTGGTGATACAACTTTATTTGTTAAAATCACAAGAGAAAGAAGCTAATTTTGACAAACCTCACTCTGTAATATTGGCCACCAAGCATACTGTGACTGGAACAGAGTTGGATTTGGTGTAAGATTAAACAATTCTGATAGTATTGTTAGAAGATGGCATTTGCACTTATGCAAATGTTTTACTGGTTCAGAATAACAATGATTTAATGAAGCAGCGCGGTTCAGCAGTTGACATGCTGTTACTGTGTTCTAATCTATTTCTTTTAAATTCCTCTTACGGAGAAAAAAAAAATCACCACCAGGAAAAACATAAGCAGCTCCTACATCTATAAAATAATTTACATTCTGTACTCAGCTTTAAAAAGCAGGATAGTATTAGTACAGAGTATGATAAATATTCTAGGCATATGCAAGTTGTGTGAGGTGATAAAATATTCTGAGCATGTCCTAAAATGATTCTCTCATCAGAGATGGCTTGTTACCTCCACCATCAGCAGATACTGATAATTAATCAACTGAAATGAATCTTTACAGAATAAACAAATCTGTTATACATGAAGGATGATTATCTTCTTTTGGCTGTGAAGATTTTTCATAACTTATTCATGCCAATGGTGTGCCTGAGTTATGAAGTATTTCTCACTTATGAAATAAATATAGCACCCTTTGTTTGTCATATAGCTGCTCTATTTTCTGGGCTTTACCAACATAAACCAGCACAAATCTATTGGTTATGCTGATTTACACCAACAGAACTAACCCCTTGTTTGTAATCAGGATCGACGGTCCTACCTTTCCAGTTATTCCAGACGCATTTCTAGAACACAGCCTTGGTAAAGCATTTTCAAATATTCAATTTTAATTCTGTGTCAATGCTGTCATCAGCCATAAGTCAGAATCACAGCCATAGCTCCCCAGCTCTGTGAATTCCACGTGGATGCAATGCACTCAGGGGGGGACAGCGTCACAGCCTGAGATGGGAATGCCATGAAAACACACTGCCAGTGGTATGGATTTTTAAATGACTCCGTACGTCTGTGTGCTGCTCTATGCCTGCTCTTCGTTGGACTATTTACATGATCAGTTTGGGTTTTCGCTGGCAGAAAAACTGATGGACAATGAATTTTAAACACGTGAAAGTATTTAAAAATCTTAAGTTCTAAGGGATGGGAAATATCATGCTTGGTGACCTGCTCAGCGATCACAGATAAAAAGCACAGTTTAAATTACAAATGTGTGAGATACATTAAAAAACAGCAACGAAAAAGAAACACTGACAATCATCAGACAAATGTATAAAATAACCTGAAGAACAGCAATATATTTGAGGAAATAATGATCTGCTGTGAACATTCCGCAAATAGAGAAAGAGGGATTGTGAATGATTCATTCGGACTGAGTCATACTGGATTTTATTAGAGAAATCCTCAGAGTTAGGACTACTGTGTGAACACAAGATCTTGACTAAGGTTCACTAGGCTGATGTTCACTAGGCTGATGATTGAGGCCTCAGTGAAGGAGAGGAATCAGTGCTGAGTTTTAAGAACTACTTAAGTAAAATAAGCTCAGGAAAAAGCTTGAATCAGTTGCAGTCGTTTAATTTGAATGTTGAAGTCTTTGCCACTGTGCCATTTATTTCTATTGCAGGATATACTTACATGAAGACATACTTGATGCAAGTTTTGTGGTAAGCTAATGTACAGCATGCTCCTTGTGCTACTGTATGCATAACATAGTGTAGAAAAAGCCATCTGGGAGAAAACTACTATGTTGAGGGGCGGAAAGAAGGTATCTTGAGGAAAACAGCTCAGTGATGATGATACTAGCACAGGTCTCGAGGGTCTTGGGTCAGTCTTTGCTTTACCACGGTCTTAATCACTGAGCTGATTGGTGCACTCGGGCTTTTCCAGATCGACTCTTTGCAGATCCAATCATTTCCAGAACTTTCCAGATGTGCTCAGATTTTTCTAGACCCAAGAAGAGATTTCCTTGCCTTCAGGCTACCTGTTTCAATGCGTACAGCTTAAGCATTGAGCTGCCAGTGCAAAACTCAGGACACTGTAACAGACATCATAGAAAGAATAATGAATGTCAGACTGAGATTCAAACCAGCTAGTTCTCTGCCTTATAATCAGTAAATAGTCAGTAACAAAATGCTGATCCTATGCCATATGCTTAGACCAGTCCTTTAGCAAGACTAAAAACCCTAAGGGTGCCAGGCTGTCAGTCTCTGCAGTGCTATTTTTAATAAGCTCAGCAAAATCTTGTGTCTATTACAATACAGTTGCCCTCCTACATAATAACCTAATAGCTGAAACACCAAGTAGAGAATCCACTTTCACACTCATCTAAATGTGAACAAACAGACAAACTTTTCACCTCGTGGTCAGCTTCCAGATACTAGATTGTGAACTATTTTGGGAACAAGCTACAGCTCTCCTGCAGAACTTGTCTGCATATGTATAACAAAATTTAGGGTACCCTGTATCAGAAGAAGGAATAAGAAGGAGCATGACTACAGGTAGTTTCTTGCTGAAGAGAAGAGCCCTGTTGTGTGTGATCGTGTGACTGTTATAATTAAACACAGAAAAAGCCACTTGATCAGAAGAACCTCCTAACTTATGCAGCAAATGCTTACATCTTTTGTGATGAAAAACTGACTCATACTGCTATCCTCGTCACGTTGTCTCATACAAAAGAATCATGCCTCTCCCAGGTTTAACTCGTCTTGGATTCTCTTCCGTACAATGACAGCTTCACTGAAAAGAATGAAAAATGTTCCTTCTTTGTTCCCCAGAGCAGTTTATGGCTTTGTGGTTAAAATATACTGAAAGGAATATGAAACATGGATCTGAACCTAACCTCAGTCAGTGGAGGACTTTGAAAACAAGTTGCTTACGTAGCCAAGCATTATGCTGTAATCTACCACAGACATATCACATGCCATTGTAAAAGTGAACAGTCTCCTTCCTTATGGGAAGATAAGGAGTTTGGGCCTGTACATGTGCTTTAGTTGTGGACAGATACCTGCTGGGCTGACAACTTGAGGTTGATTATTGCACTCAGGTTTTCATATAAGCTAGGCAATGACTTCCCAGCCTTGTCAAGGCCAAGACTCTGCTTAAGGCTTGCTTAGGGCTTCAGGCACTTGAGGCTCTCAAAGGCTGAGAAATTAAGTGCTAGAAGAGCTTATGTGCTGTCACATGTAGGGACCAGCTGAAAGAGGCTTTCCAGAGTCACTGGTTTTTATTTATGTCTGAATATTACCGCCAGATTACTTGAAACACATGCAGGTTTGTTGGTTGTGTTTTTCTTTGATAAGGCTCAAGACCATGTGGTAGCATAGTGTGAGAACTGTAGGAATTTTCCTAGCTGTCTCAATTTGGAAAAAAATAATCACATTGAAGCTTGTTTTTACAAAAATAAAGCTTAATAGGACAGCCTTTCAGCCTCGCATCTAAATATCCTGGCTTCTGTGTATCTGCAGAATGTTGTATTTGTATTCTAAGACAATTGTTATGCTATTTTCTCTCTGTAATTTTTCTCTCTGTAGTGGTATTATTAAAATAATCTGAGATTGGTTTTGTTGTTTATAAATGGACTGCTATTATCTATTCATTTGTGACAAGGTGACAGTATTTATTTATCCAGTTGTTAGCACATAGACAATACATAATCTATTTTGTGCGTGTGTGCGTGTTTATTTGAAAAGGTGCACTGGGAGGAAGGCTCTGAGTCTGTTTTGTCCTAACTGCTGTTTTCTAAGTCAGGCAGAACTAGCACAAAAGAAAAGGTGAAGCTTTCCTGTGTACAGATGAGCATGTGCAGCAAGCACAAGGATGCAGGATGGGCAGAAAAGGGAGATAATCCAGCAAGTGGGGTGGTTTCATTGCAAGAAGAACTGGAAGGGTGGGGAAACAAAGGATGTAGATACACTGCCAGGCCTCACGAGTGATGGAAGAAACTTCTGAGGCACACAAAGGAGACTGTGTACAGTCTGCTAGAAACCAAAAAGTCATTAATTTATCACAGGCAAACATGAAATAAAGGATCCATCCTCCAAAGATAAACAGTGAGCAAGAGCAGATGAGTTTATGAATCCCTTTCATGAGGGATCTCTACCATCTATCTCACTCTAGGACAATTAAAGACAAGAAATACTTAATTGCTATGGTTAACATTGTAATCAATCTGGTTTTGAGATTTAGTATCACTTTCAGCCTTCTTAGCATCCTTACAAAGCTCACTTTCGGGAAGGTGCTGGAAGATTCACCTCAAAGCTATGACTAACATAACCCTATTGCAGAGCAAAACCTTGCCTGACAGCTACTTGCAACAACTCCGTAAATGCTTCCAAGCAACCTTTAGCCACCCACAAGTGACTAGCTCCTTGTCTGCGTTGCCAGCCCCTGGCCAGCCTAAAGTTCCCCCAGAAGCCAGAGGCCATGAAGCCACCAGCAAGGGCATTGGCAGGGCCAGTGATTGCCATGGGCCTGTGTGCCAAGTGGTGTGCTGCCAAACACGCCCAGACAGGCTGGCTGCAGACAGTCTGCAAACTGTCTGTGAGGCCGAGGGGCCGTGCCTGTGGTCATTCTGGATGCAGCTGCTGGTTCCAGCAGGGTGCTTGCGTGTCACGTTCAGTCAGTCAGGCACCAGAAGTGTATCAAAATTAGGTTAATTTATCTCTGACAAAAGTCTTGAAATAGAACAGTTAAGCATCCCGCAAACAGCAGTCTGACTCATGGGCAAAAAAATAGCTCGGGGCACGAGAGCGGGCTTTGCCGAGAGGGGTAACGCTAACATGGTTGCCACAGCACTGCGAGGGTGGAGGGCATCTTGCAGCCGCTCGTCCAGGCACCCTTCCTCAATGCACGGCCGAAGCTTCCCGTGATTAACGGCACGGGTCATTAGCCGGACCGCTCTCCAGAGTCAATATGGGCTCTACAGCTCCTCGGTACTGCCCCTTGGCTGCCGTGAGGCGACGGAGGCGCTCTGAGGGCACCGACCGCGGATTAAAGCGAAGAGGGGCGCCAGGCTGCGGGCACCCCCGGGCTCCCGAGGCCTCTCCCGCCGCATCGCTCCCCCGGCCGCCGGCCCCGAGGCAGCGCCGTGCCGGGCGATCACGCGGGCCGCGCCGGGCCGTGCCGGGCCGGGCGGTGCAGCCAATGGGCTGGCGGCGCCGCGCGCCCCGTCCGCGCCTGGAGAGCGGTGACGGCCGGCGCTGGCGGGCTGGTGCGCAGGCGGAGAAGCTGCCTGCCGCGGTCGGAAGGGAAGGGAGGGGAGGGAAGGGGGTGGCTGCGCCGGGCACAGCATGGCTGCCAAGGTAAGTCCCCGCCGGCGGGCGGGCGGCGGGCCCGCGGCGTGCGGCCGGTGGCGGCGGTCTCGGCGGGGAAGGGGCTGCGGGGGGAGGCGGGCGGGTGCCGGCCGTGACCTCGGGCCCGTCCTTGGCGAAACTTAAGGGCGGGCGGCGCCTCCTCCGCGCGGCCGCGGAGCGCCGGCCCCGGGGAAGGGGCGCCGCAGGGCAGCGGGGCCGCTCGGCGTGTCGCGGGGACGGCCGCCCGGCCCGCGCTCGGCGCTCAGCGAGGTGCCGGCCTTCCGCCTGCGGGCGCAGAGGCTGCGCGGCGGGGCTTTTTTTACCTGCGGGGCTCGGGCCCGCTCTCCGCTCGGAACGCGCCGCGTGCCCGACGCGGCGCGGCCCGCTTCGGGCGGCCCTCCCCGGCCCCGCCGAGCGCCACCGTGCCCGGCCGTTTGCAGGCGGCCGCGTGCCGGGCTGCGGCGGTGGGGGAGCCTCGGCGGCAGGAGGCAGCGCGGCGGGGCCCCGGCGCAGAGGCCGGCGGTCGGGGCTGCGAGGCGCCAGGTGCGCCCGGCCCGGAGCGCGATGCCGGCCCTGTCCCCCTTCGGGCCCGGCCTGCGGGCCGCCCTCTGCGGCCTTCTCTTCCCTTTTCGCACTGTAGCTGTGGAGGAATCCTGCCGTTTCCACTTTTGTTTGTAATTCCTACCGGCTTCACCTCTCTCTGCGCTCTCCCATCAGATGGGTACTGCTCTGCTAGGCTTTTGTGCCGTTTCAGTGTAATAAATTAACGTAAATAGTTTTATCAATAACACGATTCCACCTCACCTCCCCCCACAACTGGCTGTCTATCAAAGGAAGGCCATATTAAAAGTGGGTATTCCGTTCCTAATGACAGACACATCTATGTGAAAAAATAGTAAAACTTCCAGTAAGAAAGCCAAGCAAACACATATACGTGCTCAGATGCTCTGGCTGGAGTTCCATGCTCCTCTATGTCAGTAAGGCTGTGATGGAGCTGCTCCTGTCAGCATCTAGTTCACTGGGAACTGAAGTACCCACAGTTATAATAGATCGAGCAGTGCACGATTCCTCCTTATTTGCTAAAATATATTAAACGGTCATCCTTTAGTATTAGGATTAACAAACCTTAGCTGCCTCAACTTTTTTTTAATTGCCCGCTGGCCCATACTGACAGCATATTAGATACTTCTTATGAAACTCAGGCTTGGGTCTTCATTTCATTGAATTTATAAACCATGAGAAGCAGTCTGCAGTTCATTTGAATCCGTGGTACTCAATTATACTTTAAACATATTGTATGAGTAGCTAGTGTTTGTCTTAATTGGATATACAGATGTGTTCTATGCTGTGCATATGCATGGTGGCCTTTTTCTTTTAGCTTTGTTTATTACCTAAATCTTTAGTAGGATACCTGGGAAGGACTCAACGCTTGGGGAGAAACTAGGCTGAATACAGAATGTTTCAGATTACGCCGAACTTGGCAATGAGATACCTAATAAAAAGAATACATCTTTGTTATGAGTGTCGTAAGCATCCTTGGTGCATTGCAAGACAGAGGCGCAGCACTTTGTACTACTCCAGGGTTTACTGCCCTCAGGTAACTTCAGAGGAAAGCTGTGTGCAGACTTGAATGACTTAGGTTAAAAAAGAAAACACGAAAAAAACCCCAACGAAACCAAACAGCAGCAGAACTGGGAGCAGCTCGACTGGATTAATTATTGTTATCTTGTGAGACTTGAAGGGTTTTTATCATTTTGAGGTGAAATAGTTGCTGTTAAACTCAGATGACTTTCTGCTTTTATTGTAGTCAGCAACAACACGTAAGTAGCGTTTTGCGCCCTAACGGTAACGTGTGAACTCAGGTTCTGCAAGCACACACATGAATAACTTTGCCACATTAAGAGCTTCTGGGCCTTAAGTTATTCACATGTGCTTGCAGGCGTGGGTCTTGATTTGTGTTCTAACTTCCTCACTGATGCATCTCAGTAATGTTTGCCTTTTTCACCTCAGCCAAACAATGGACTGGTGAGTTGAATGATTTTTTCAAAATTCCTTCAGTCCCTTCTCCTTGCCAGTATCCTGCATGACCGCTTCCTTTAATTTTTTTAATTATACCATTTGAGGCATATGAGTCTTTGGAATTGAATGTAATTGTTCCTCACTTGCAAGATTTCCATTGCTGACATGTTAAGCGTACTCTAGGAATTTGGTCTTTGAAAAGGAAAGCCCAAATGGGATGCTGTCAAGGTTGCCTGGTTAAGCACTCAGGGATCAAGAAATGGGCAGACCTTTTATGCATGCAAGCTTTTGTGTCCATAACGGGGCCATAGAGTTTTCATCACTGTTTGTTACTCGGTGTCATACTACTTATACAGCGTTTATATGCTGTGTAAGTTTTCACCTGTGTTACACACGAACGTGTGTTTGGAGTCTTCAGAAGTGTTTCCTGAGAGCGTTTTGAGAAAACTGTGTTGCAAATTATATTTGCACATGCGTCCAGGAAAATTACAGATGAGATGTTTCAGTAGAATTTTAACCTACTGATAACTAAATTACCTTCATAAGTGCTGGCTTCATTCTCTGAATTGCAGAAAACGCAAGCTTTATGGAAAAACTATGGTAATGCATGTATAGCACTGTAATGGGCTTGTACACAGCATCTCATGCTTTATTTCTTCATTTTTGAGTGTTTAACAGTGCAGGCACCGTGCTTTGTCTGCCCTTTAGTCAGATTCCTTTAGAGAGACACGTTACACAATCTAGCTCATGCCACCTGTGATTCACCCAGAGTGTGTTTTACAGCTAAATTGGCTGTGGCTGCTGAGTGAATGTAAAGCTGCCCTTGCTCCATGAACCATTACACAGTTCTGGCCATAGTGATTGTATCATGCATGTTCAAAGTGTGACTTGATATCTTTTTAAAGTCATACTGCTTGGTAAAATATAAGATTATTTTTCCATGTGAAGTTCTAAGGTGCTTCCCAATGAAACCTACTCACGTATCTGATTTTGCCTTTGCCACTTTGCTACTTTATCTCCTCAGCTCAAGGCCAGAAACTGTTATTTATAATAGCAGAAAGTACGTGTAATTTTTTTTTACTTTATACTTCACAGCCACTAGGCTGCCCTCAAAGGAGTTGAAATTGTATTAAAGCAAATTCCAAACTTGGATGATTTCAGTAGGCACGTTAAGATGTGGAAAGCTGTGTGAAAACTGTGGGCTTTGCATGGAAGTGTTGTACACCATTGAACTTCATCTCTGCTATGGATAGCATGTGAATCAATTTTGACAGTTGTATTTAGCTGCATAGCACTAACATAGGATAAGATCCTTAAATACTGTGGTCTGTCTTTTTCTACTGTGATTGTTTTGCATGTGTGAACTTGTATCCATTGGGCTACTTCTACTACCCAGAATGCATAAATTGCTTGTTTAAAAGTGATTGCCTTATCAACAAAGTGTGATGTAAATGTCATATGCTAAAAAAGTAGTTGCAAAACAACTGTTCAGTTAAAGCCATGAACCTTACTTCAGTATCCAGTGAGACTGTTTGCATGCTTAAAATTAAGTGCATGCATCAATCCTTTTAAGAACTAGAACCTGACTGTCAAAATGTACTAATGAGTAGATAAGGTTGCTGCCCTTACCTACATGACAATATTTAGAATGTTTCTAATGCCTGGGAAATAAACTTTGTTACACGATTTGGGTATGCTTAACAACTTTTTATTCTATTTTTGCTTATATTTATTTTTTAACTGCCTTGTAAACTGTATCAGTGGAGTTACATGTTGTTTCTGGTAGTGTTTACTGTTAAAGAAAGCTATTAGTGCCCATCCCAGACTTCTGCATGCCTTGGTGTTAGTGTGGCCTGATATTTATCAGTGAAGGCCCCAGTCCCACAAGATGCGTTGCACTGACTGAGTTCACTGGAGTGCTGGCCCTGGCTCTGATGGGCCTTTTTGTGTGCACAAGTGCTGGCCCAGTGCCACGTGAACTGATGGAGTCTGGATTTGCAGTGGTTGAAATGTGAACGCCATGACAGTAAGATTCAAGGAGAATGTGGTTCCAGACAATGCCAGAACCATTAGATTCTGATGCAGCCATGCCACAAGTGTTACTTTGCTATCACGGATGGCCAGCATGCTCCTTTTCTGCATCATCCATCTGCATCACACCTCCTTCATTCAGCTCCTTTTCCCATGCTCCTTTCCCCCTTTCTAGCAATAGATTGAGATGCGTCTGGATGCAGACCGAATTAGCTCTTCTTGCCCTAGGTAATGCTGTTCTTACCTTCCTCCTTCAATATGGTAGAACAGAATTGCATTGCATTGGCCCTCAAAAGTGAACAGGTGAGGGATCTTCGCATCGTGATGGGCTTCTGTGTCCCCAAAGGGAGTGCAGTCCCTTATGGATAGGCTCCAGACACCCAACACCACCAGCGACACTGTGGGAAATGAGTGGCTGGTGAGTAAGGAGAGAACCTCTGTTTTCCTGAATCATCACTCAGTTTGTGCCTTAATAGTGTCCTGACACTGAACTGCATCGTGGTCATGTTTTTTGGATGTGATAGCATTGTGTAAGATCCAAGGGGAATTGACCTTGCTGGTCTGTATGAGTCTAGCAGTGCTTGCTGTTGTGTAGCTGGGCATGAGCCTATAAATTCTGAAATGCTTTGTTTATCATAAGACTTTTTTTCACCTCCTCAGAGAAAAACGTGTATTATTTTGCTGCCTATGACCTTTTTCTATGTCTTATCTCCTTAAGATGCCAGAGTTTATTTGATCAAGAATTTATGTGAGTTTAGGTAACTTCATACCTAGGAAGAAGCAAGTGATTTACTCTCCTTCTCCCTCCCACCCACCATTATCATACGCTTTGTTTCATTTTGTTTCTTTTCCTGCACATTAACATTTATGGGAACCACCTAATACCACAGGGTGTGCATCCAGTTTCAAAGCCCACTGGTAAGAATAATCTCAGAAAGTGACCTTCTGGAAAACTCCACAGAGCTCTGTTCTGCAGTGAGCACTGGGGGAGCAGCTACCCTGAAAAGGAGTTTTATTACACTGTTCCTTTTTGGTCTTAGTTGTGCCTGTGTGTTTATAGGTACTACTGTACTTGCCCCCTTTTCTTTCTCAAGGTGGGGGCTGTTTTGTGGATTTATGTCTTTAATGTGTTAGATGGGACTATGTGTTGAAATTATCAGTGTTCTTAGCATGTTTCTGAAACTTACTCTTTTCTTTATAGTGTCCCTTTAAGATCAACTGCAGAGTAACCTGACTTCCAGGATAGCCCTGGGAAAGCGTTACTGGACTGAGAGTTATGCATACATCCTCACATGCATCTCTTCCATTGTGATACTGCTGAAAAGTTTCTAAGTTATCTGGATCTTATCATGTCAGGAAATGAATTCCACTCTCTATGCAGCTTTGTGTCCCAGGTAGTTAGAGATGCTCTTGAAAGTGTGCTTCAAATGATAAGGCATTCTTCCTGATGCTGTAATGTAGACAAGCTTACATCCCTGAATGATAACGATCTGTCTTCTGACCAGCTTGTTTAGGCCGATGTCTATTTTATTTATCTATGTTGTCCAAGGATTGTGACAAGGAGGTATGTGATACTGTATTTCCTGGAAGATGGCATGAATGCATTGCTTAATTTTAGCTTCATTTTTGCTTTTGATCTCTTGAATTGCTTCTGCTTTGGCTATAGAATGGCTTGACAGTACTGAACAGAGCCTGCATATTTGTATGTCACCAGACCTGAACTTGTATAAGGCTTCCGGGTGCTTCTGTAATATTGCTGTTTTACTTGAGCTACAGCGTGCTCTTCAGAAACATAGCAGCTGATGTTTTATGGTGCTAGATGACTATGAGTTGTAAAATGTAAGATTGCATATTTTCTGGTGCATTCTCTTTCTGGAAATATCTGTATCTCAACCATTTGTAGGAAGATAAAGAGATCCTTATAAAGAGACCCTATCTTCGATTGCTTTGGAATAAAGCAATTTCAACAGAAGCTTTGTTAAAACACTTAAAGGAACACTGCAAATGCATTTTCATAACATTTTAAAATAATTTCATGCTATTTACAATACCTTAGAAACATACAATTGCAATTATATTCTTTACCAAAAATGTTACTTGGCTTGTGCAAAACTCAGTGTGTTAAAGGATGAAATTGCTCATAAGGAGTGGGTTGTTGGTATTTTTCTTTTCTTTAAAGAGGTGAAGAGAAAAAAAAGAAGCATTTGAGAGAGTGCAGAAGTGCACATATGTACACCAAGCTACATGCATTTAGAGAAGAAACAGAAGAAACAGAGCTTGTTACAAGCCTGGCAACAACAAACTCTTCTTACTGGATACCTAAGAGATACTTAACCTCAAGTGCTGGATTCACATGCCACTGATGCCTTGCAGTCTGAGGCAGCCTGCAAGAGCTGTTTCTTTGCTGACCAGCGAGTGCACTTTTGGGGTTCCTCTGGAGTTCTACCTTGCTTGTTGGTGTAACTCTTGGTCACATGCAAACTGGAGCCTGGAATGTAGGTGCACAACATCTTCTGGCTTTCTGTAGATCAACACCCCATGCCTAACTCTTAGCCTTTTGGCTTTGGAAGTAGAATTAAGAAACCTATCTGAGTTGTCCAGGAATAGCTATCTGCAGTAGCTATGCTGGCGTGCTGAGCAGCAGGCAAAGTGAACCCGTAGGGAATCAAAAGATAAGGGTGTCTCTGGCAGATCTTCCTGCATCAGGCCTTGCAGCTCTTTGTCAGGCAGGAGTACTGTGCAGTTAGTAATACAAGAAACCCATTCAGTTGCTGACAATTAGGGTTCTCGGGTGAGAGGGGGAGATTTGCATTGTCTGTTTCCACGTTTATGCATTTTGCATGGCTGATAGCTCCCATCCCGCTTTGAGGGGTTGCAGTGCACGCTGGGTGTGTTTGTGCATGGCTCCTGGCCGGAGTGGTAATTCTGAATGGTGTCTGAGATGGCTGTGCTGCTCGGTCAGCCTGCAGTGCTGCTGGATGGTGCTGGGACTTCAGGAATCCTGAAAATCATAAGCTGCATGTGCTGGTTTTGCTCATTGAGGGACAGATTTTGCATCATGCTGTGACTGGAATAGTGAGTGTGCTCATGGGTCTGACACTGGGAGGCTGAACAAAGTGCATTTTGCAGTTATACAAACAAGCACTGTATTTGTAGAGAGAGCATTGAGATTTGTAAGCTTCTGACCGGACAGCCATGCCTTTCAAAAGTAATTTTGAAATCTCCTAAATATCATCTCTACTCTCTACCTCCTGAAACGGAGGTTGTCTGCTCTTGTTTGGAGCCCCAAGCTGGGCCAGCCCCGGCCTTAGGCCTGGATCCTGGCCCATTGCAGAGATTGTTCTGCTGCAGAGGTGCCCTTTGGCTTGGGGAGACACTGTGTGCTTCCTGCACCTTGTGATCACTGTGCTTTGAAAGCCAGCAGTAACCCTGAAACATTGATTCAACTTGGGCATACTGAGCATGCAGCAGCAGTACTAGGGAAATGTAATGGTGCCATGGTGAATTGGAGTGGGTAACTGACTTGGCAGAAAGAAAACTGTATTTGCTCAATTGTTTCTTTGGGTATGTGTGATTTTTTTTTGTTTGATTTTTGTTTTCCTTAAGTCAGATCACAGTAAAACAGAACAGTGCTGTTCGTCTTCCATAGTGACGTAGTGTAATGTATATAGCTCTCAGCATATAAATGAGAAGGAATTGTTGGTTTCTTTTTCTTTTCTTCTTTTTTTTTATTTAATGCAAATTATATCTGTCCTGTTCTCCATGGATCAGGCAATTCAGTTGTTGACAGCCCTTCATGCTTTGCTTGTAATGGGATGGATAACTGTGAAGATGCCAGGGCCTTTTCCTTAACGTGGTGCAAGAATATAGCCATGGGGGTGTAACAGTAAGTTTGGCAGAGGCAAACTTCTGAGGTTGTTCTGGAACTACTTGGTCAACTAATGCTGCTATTGTTGATCTTAATGCTTGTGGGCAGCAGACTACGTGGTTAGAAGAAAAAAATGGAACTGAAACACCAAGAAACCTTTGTCATCATTTGTTCTCTTACACTGTTTTCCTCTTAAATTTTATACCAGACTCTTTGGGAGACTTTTGTCCCATTTTCTCTGTATAGCTCAGTAACTTGCGCTCACAGGAATGCGTTTAAAAGGAAAACTTTGATGAAAATTTTCCATAGAAGCAGAAATAAGAAATAAGACTGACCTTGCAGATGGTGGAGTGTTGTGGTTTCTGTTTTTCTTGTGTTTGCTTGTTTTTAAGGATGTATCTCCAATTGGTTGATTTAAATGTTCAAGTTTATACCTGCATTTCCTTTGATTACCCAGCAAGTTCCAATGCATTTTTCTGATGGTGTTGATGAGTTTCAGCTCAGCATAGAAGTAAATGGCACACAGAAGACAACTGCAATCTTAGCCAGTTAGGTGTGAGGCAACTGGTGAATTCCTAGTTATCTGAAGCTTTTTTATTACTTCAGAAACATAGGAGAGATAGGGGGTTTATCCCAATGATAAAGACGGTTGAACCTTCCATGTGATGCAATAGACTCCGTATTTTGCTTGTTTTTGAAATACTGTTATGCGTTTGATTGGTAGGCATTGTGGCCTTTTCTGAATTATCCATTTGTGTATAGGTAAAACTTCGTGCCTTTGAGTTTTAGGTTACTGTTGCCTTTGTGACTGTGACCTTTGTATGCTCTTGTCTCACTCCCTACCATTCCATGTTAGCATAACTAATGTTCATCCCTTCAGCAGGAGGCCCAATCTCAAAGGCCAGTGCTGAACTGTGTATCTGCTTGGGAGCTTTGATGGGAGTCACAGCTCTTCTTGTGATATTTAGGACTGTGAATTGCTGGGTTGGCAATACAAACTTTTTCTGCTCTTACTAGCTGATATTTATAGGCATAACTACTACCAGTTTCTTAGGTTCTCTTTAGGTATTTTTATTTTGTTTCTGGTTTTAGATCTCCAGGCTGAGATCTGAGTTTGTTGTACTAAATACAATCAGATTTTATTGCAATAAATGGTGCTGCTGCAAGTTATGATTGCTTTAGTCATTCAAAAATCTGGTTCCTTTCCTAAGTGACATATTTTCTTGGTTCCCCATGACTCTTGTCTGTGGGATGGAGATGTCCTCATTGTCTGTGGGATGGAGATGTCCTCACAGCAGACTTACGCCTAACGGTCTGTGCTCCTTGTCAGGCAGTTGAGTTGAATTTAGGTGTAGGTTTTGGGAGGGATCTGGGGGTTGCCATCACCTTGTCCTCCTTAAAACAAAGCTCTAACTTACACCTGAATGTTAGCTATGGAAGCTGAGAAGGCGATACGGTTTGGTTTTTACCCATGGTCTCAGTCTAGCAGTGTCCAAGTAGCCTCTTGTTTCCAAAAGATGCTACAGACTTCTGTATGAGCCTCACTTACC